CACCAGCCTCGGGCTAGACCCGGTCCGTGCTTCGTTGGTATATATATAGATATATATATAATATATATATATATATAATATATATATATGTATGTAATATGACCGGCCTCTCCGGTACCCTTTGTCTGAGCCAGTATCGTATTCGGGCTTTGGGAAGCTTAGACGTGCTGAGACAGAGACAGAGACAGAGACATAGACATAGACAGAAATAGAGACAAAGACAAAGGCAGAGATAAAATAGAGAGAGAGAGAGAGAGAGAGAGAAGAAGAGAGAGAGAGAGGAGAGAGGAGGAGAGAGAGAGAGAGAGAGAGAGAGAGAGAGAGAGAGAGAGAGAGAGAGAGAGAGAGAGAGAGAGAGAGAGAGAGAGAGAGAGAGAGAGAGAGAGAGAGAGAGAGAGGAGAGAGAGAGAGAGAGAGAGAGAGAGAGAAGAGAGAGAGAGAGAGAGAGAAGAGAGAGAGAGAGAGAGAGAGAGAGAGAGATAGAGAGAGAGAGAGAGAGAGAGAGATAGAGAGAGAAGAGAGAGAGAGAGAAGAGAGTAGAGAGAGAGAGAGAGAGAGAGAGAGAGAGAGAGAGAGAGAGAGAGAGAGAGAGAGAGAGAGAGAGAGAGAGATAGAGAGAGAGAGGAGAGAGGAGAGAGAGAGAGAGAGAGAGAGAGAGAGAGAGAGAGAGAGAGAGAGAGAGGAGAGAGAGATAGGAGAGAGAGAGAGAGAGAGAGAGAGAGAGAGAGAGAGAGAGAGAGAGAGAGAGAGAGTAGAGAGAGAGAGAGAAGAGAGAGAGAGAGAGAGAGAGAGAGAGAGAGAGAGAGAGAGAGAGAGAGAGAAGAGAGAGAGAGAGAGAGAGGAGAGAGGAGAGAGAGAGAAGAGAGAGAGAAGAGAGGAAGAGAGAAGAGAGAAGAAGAGAGAGAGGAGAGAGAGAGAAGAAGAGAGAGAGGAGAGGAGGAAGAGAAGAGAGAGAGAGAAGAGAGAGGAGAGAGAGGAGAGAGAGAGAGAGAGAGAGAGAGTACGTGATGTGATGACAGAGTATAGATACAAATGTCGGGATGCCACCTCCGGGTCGAACCTTTTTCTTGCGCGGTATACTGCAAATATGGTAGGTCGTGCTGCACTATAGCTTCTGGGACACATATTTTCGACTTACAGGAATTTCCACCTGAAGGTATTTTTGGTTTTCAAAACATAAACTTGGGAACGAATGACCGTAGGACGCGACAGGGTGATGGAGGATATCTTTCATGATCACCGGTGGCAATTAAATTTTTACATCCGCCATCCACATGCGCCACGCATTTTAAATATAATAACCAATATAATAAACACCAATATAATAACCAATGTACGATAAACATGTTCAAAGTGATTCATCAAGTGGGCGCTGGAAATGACACCACCAACGACGCCATATCAAATCATGGCAATCGTAAATCAGTCTAGACTGGCCGTCCGCGAACAAAACCCGGCGGCCAGGGCCGTGCGACACCAACGGCGTGCGCAATCAGGAAGGCATCGGTGTATATGCACGTCCTAATGGGGCATATAGAGGGTGGAGCGTGAGTCGCCCGGACCCAGAATGTTGCGCCAAGCAGCACAATAGTCGGCAGGTGAAAAGGGGAAAATTGTGATATCGATGGCGAGTGACACAAAGGCACTAAATGCATTGCTCGAGGTCAAAAGTCAAGACCACGTTATCGAACCATGGCATTCCGTAGCGAACACCAAAGGAAAGATTCATTATCCTTACAACGCTTCTCTTTTGCGAGACATTGCCGCATATTTGTGCGCTGAATGCACTACTTTTGATGGTCTCGCTCCCTACTGCGCGAGTGCAGTATTGCTGCGCACTGGGCGCACCACATAGTACGCACAGTACGTTGAGGTACCGCAAAGTACGCACAGCCGTGCACTGAACGAGCGATTTGTGCACCGTACTGTCATGCGAGTCATCGCGCATTCACAAACCCGGCGCACCTGTGGTGATGCACGCGACCCGAGACCTGCCAGGCGCACGCCTCTGATGTGGTCCGCACACGGCTGCGGCGCCCACAGAGAGCTACGTAGAGCGGAGCGACGCGCGCTCACATCCAGAGGTGCACAGAGCACAGCGATTTTGATTACCTTATACCCATTCACCGGCTACCAATAGCATCAGCGCTCAAACAGGTGTGCTCTCACCGCGCGTACGAAGCGCTGCTGTCGGTTGTTTCACGTCGGCTGGCAGTGCACTTTACCACGCTGGCGTGTGGTACCCAAAACGTCTCCTACCGGCCTCGGTTCTCGGTCTAGGGAGGTGTAGGAGTCTGTCCTGCGGAGTGGTCGGGCACGTGTGTCGTGGTTGAACTGTCAAACATAGCCCTCAGCATATGAGGCTCGTCGTGCAGCATTACCTTATGAACCAGGGCGACCACTTAAAACTCGGCCATGTGTCGAGGTAACACCCATCAAAGTGTCTCACGCAGGTCAGACGCGTGGTCAAATCGACGTCGGCCAAAAATCAATCAATCCGGCAGCAAGGTTATGATCTTTTGGATTTTATCAAAGTTTTCTTTGTGTCACTGCCATAAGCCGTGAGACAACATCGGGCCTGCGTGAGCGCCAGCACCGTCACCAGAGGTTTAACGACACTATCTGGAAGGCCGTACTACGCATGGGAGAGGCCCATCAGCATGCCCACACACGGGTGAGCGTGAGCTCGGAAACGTGTGAATCCCAGGACAGGACGCTGTCGAAGACAACGACTTGGTTCCTCATCTCCGAACACGGTCGCAGCGCAGCTCCACGAAAAGTTGCGGTCAAGTCCGGAAAACAGCGCGTAAATTTTGACGACTTCCAAAAGTGATAAGTTGCGTTTTGGTTGCGTTCAACTTGAGGGGACTCGAACGAAACCAGCAGCTGTGTGACGCACGCGATGTATCCACGCGGGAGAGAAGTCCCAAAGGTCGTCTTTCGGACCGCTAATCAAAACCTGGGTGTCATCTGCATATTGAGAAACATGCGCCTTGTCTGTGTACAAAGACATGCCATTCGAGAAAACTGTCAACAGCAGTGGCCCAATGTTGAGCCTTGGAAGACGTCCACGTTGTTGGCAAGCGGCCGCAACATCACCCTGCGTCCGAACCGATTACGGCCAACTGACACAAAACAAAACTCGTTCAGCCGATCAGCTGTCGCGTCTGATCAAACTGACTGTCCGTCCCTCTTCCCAGCCACCAGCGTCCTCATGCACCGCCACGCTCTACCTGACCCCTGTTCGTTGGAATCTCCGTCTGGATCTCACTGCGCCAATCACTGCAGGCGCCGGATCGAACGGCACGGTACAGCTCGCGGTACTCCCACGGATATCTCCCTGACCGCGCCAAAGCAGCCCGGCGGCGGGCCATGAAACCACGAGTGGCGGCGGAGATGGTGAGGGCAGTGGGGTTACCAATGGTTGTGTTTTGAGCAGAGCATGAGCGTCAACAAGAGGTGAAAAGTTTGTCAAAAATGCAGTTCACTGATCGCTGACGACCGGGGCAGAGTGAACTTCCCCAATCAAAACAAAAAAATCATGGTTAAAAAAGCGATGCCGAAGCGTTTCAGGCAGCGGGATAAAATAACAGTAGGTTTAACTCGACGTTTCCGAACATTCACCAACACGCTAAGAATTTATGCGGGCTAAAATTGCAAACGTTATCACTACGAACGACGCCATCTGCGGCGACTTTAAACTATGCACATAGCTAAAAGAGAACCAGTGAAGAAAGTCGGCACGGTCACAAGCTGATCAAGAGCGTGATCCGACAAAACAAAAACCGCCGACGCGCTCCATCACCGTGGTCCTTCCCAAATCACAAGTCAAATCACCACAGGTGAAGAGCGGGACTCCCGGGCAACCAATCAGCACGCGCTGCTACTGGGCCTCCTGGTCGGTGGAGTCGTCTTGGTGGGCAGCTACTGTGTGCCGGGCGGACGGTACAGAGAGCAGTTAACTAGCTGACGTCCCCGCTCGAGTTTCGGCAGTGCCCACTGCGACACCAGCCTACTGCCCTGAATCTGAGACGCAGGCAGACGCAGTGTGGTCGACATGATGCTGACATGTCATGACAGCGACACCGCCGTAGCCCCGCCCGTTGGGGCGGACAACCCGGCTGATGGAGTACCCAGGAATCTCCACAAGTCGGCTGGACGTGGCGGGTCGCAGCCACAACTCATATTGGAGAAGGACGTCGTAGTCGTGACGTTTGAGCCCGCTGGTGAGCTCCAGAAGCTTGGGCTTTAAACTTCGGATGTTTAGAGCTCCGATGTGCAAGCCGGCGTCGACCGTCTTCCGTCCACCACTGCGCCCCCTCCACCCACGGCGCCGGGGCCGCTGGACCCCGCCGCGCGGCCGCCGTGACCCGACCCGATTCCTAGCCAGGAGCGGCTGAGCCGGCCTGCTCGCCAAATCGGCAGTCGTGCCGAGCAGCGCCCGAGGCGCTGTGACGTCACAGGTCAAGGCCGGCGGAGCGCGGCCCGGCGACACGGTCCAGCCGCGGAACCGAGCCGCGCGTCGGGTGGTGACGTCACGCAGCAGGCAACGATCAGATTCATGCAGGCCTCGCACGCGGTTGAAGGTGGAGCTGACTGGGTGAGTGGAGCTGACGCTCTGCTGGACTATCGGGGAACAACGAATGTTTCCCAACAGTGATTGGGGAGCAACGAATCACTGTCGCTAACTGGTTAGCATGGTGAACACTGAATTTTCATGTTTCGATCCTATGAGGTACCTTGAGTTTCCATGTTTCATGTTGACGCAAAAGCATAAATGCATGTCGCCTTCACACATCATGAAGTATAGACATCAGTGAGAACTATTTCACTCGAGCACTGGTGAAGCATTCCCCAGTTTGTGGTGGGTCAGAGTCCACACCTTGACAAGCTGCGGTGTTGACCTGGACCATTTTGCATAGGTCTTAGGACTGTTTACCAGGCGGTCCGTGGCCACACCACCCAAAAACCTAACACAGGTACCAGGCGAGCGCTCTCACCTTCAAGATGGACGTCTTGCCACCGAACGGCTCGCCGACCAGCATGAAGCCGTGGCGCACGATCATCATCTCGTACACCTGCAGCACCTTCTCCACGAACACCTCGGCCGGCTGCAGGTTCTTGGAGGCACACGCCTGCGGGAGTGTGCCGCGTCACAGCCGCGCCGGCGCCGCTGCACCGGCGCCGCCACCGCCCATCCCTGGACCTGCTGCCACCGTCAGCTGCTCATCTACAGCCGACTACGATCGGACTGTGCCGTGGTCATCAGGCGCATAGCCCCTGGGTGTGAAAGCCTGACCCAGCTGAGTGGCGTACGTCGTTGGACGACCATGCGGCCCGATAGAGTGGCCGCCCGCGCGATTCAATACGGCCAGTGGTGACTGGCGGGCTCCGCCGCCGTCGCCACTGCGGCGACCGCCCCAGCGTCGTCCGCCATGTGCGGATGGCCAGCGGAGGCCGGTCGCGTCGGCTCACCTCCTGGATGGACTCGACGTATTTGCCGTAGTCGGGCTTGGGCAGCGTGACCCCCGGGAACAGGTCGGAAACGATGCCCTGGAAGAGCGGGATGTCGTGCGCCAGAAACTTGGGCAAGTTCACGTCGATGATGGAGCGCAGGATGAGGATGTCCTCCCGCTCCTGCTGGTACTTGAGCTTGAGGTTGCCGGCGGCAGCCAACACGGCCTTCACGGCCCGCATGCCTGAGGACGGGGCGACGGCGGCGGGGCGTCACAGCGGGCTGGGGCGGCGCGCTGGGCCGGCCCGCACACCCGGCCTCATGGCGCTGGAGACCCAGCCCCAGACGGCACCGGCCGACAAGCGGCGACGCATAACACAGAGCCTGCGGACGCAACTGAAAGCAGCCGTCCATTATCTGAAACACTGCGAGGGACAGATCGTGCAATGCGATATTTTCGGGATTTCACTGAGCGTGGGCGAAGGAAGATATAACACACTACAAGAAAGAATACTTATAGTGAGGACAATTACAGTGAATTTTCGAGCTGATGTGACAGCGTAGTATTATACACAGTAATGAAACATTGAGATGGCTTCTTAGAAAATCAGATAACTTTAGTTATAATTATGACTCGTTCTCGAGGGTCAGATCAAGGTGAAAACTAAGCGCTTTATTATTAGAAATATCGCTTTTACGATAGTCATAATTTTTAACACCTTTATCACAATGACTTCGGCTGATTTCTGATTGGCTTCATGGAGTTCAAGAGAGGTCACTGACGTAAAATAACCTTCATCCTTTTGATATCTACGTTTGTGTCTTTGATCCCTACTTTTTTATTCAAGGCACGTACCGCCTGGGAACGTTTTTGGGCGTGATTGTTGATCTTTACATGCATAATGTTTTTAGGATTTTTTAGTCATTTTGCATTAAAAAACAATTAAGGTCAGTGACCCAACCACCTGGAATAAAATCAAGTCCTCCTCATAATTACACCAGACATTTGGCCTGAAACCTGCTATGTGAGCGTGCTTGAAAAAATATCAGGCCCGATCTCAAAGTTGACCTTATCTGACCCGATGGTCATGACCTGGGTACCTATCTTTTCTACCTATCCTGTGATTTACGCCCCGTTCGGGGGGTCAATTTCAGCCCCTCAGCCGAGCGTGTCGCATTTGACCGGCCACCCGGACGCGTATCAACACATTAGGCTTTAAAAAAAAAACCCGGAAGGGTGCATTCAGAACAGCCATACACCCTACCGTAATCGTAATGAAACTGCGAAGACAGCTGCTCCGAGCACAGTTTATAGGTGGAGACGATCTTGACAGAGAGGCTGCGGGCGTCGACGAAGCCGAACGAGTACAGGGAGATCTCGCCGATCAGTGTGTAGTCGGGCACCATCATGGCCACTGTCCGGAACAGCACCTGACGACCGGCAGCCGGTGAGCAGACCCAATACCGCGGCTGTCTACTGGGACTGACGAGCGCATTGGCCAGCCAACGGAACTCCACCACTAGGAAGAGCATATCGGGTTTTTACAACCATTCTGCATTTCGCTTTTTTCCTTACGGGATTCGTGCATGTTGGTTTGGAAACCTAACGGAAGTGTCCGCTGCTCCTCACAAACAAAGCCACTCCACAACGTTGTTGCTGATGCATACTGTTCTTAAAACGGCAAATTGCCAAGGACATAAAAACAGCTTTCGACGGCAAAGATGACAAAAGGCCAACCCCCCCCCCCCCCACGTTTCGAACGGCGCTCGTCATATCACAAGTAGCAAGAACACAAACATCCAGCACGCCGTGCCTGCACCGACACGGCTGGCGCTGTAGCTGACCTTGAGGTTGTCAGGCAGCTCTGATCGTCCGGCGTAGCCCGGGTTCATGGTGATGCACACGTAACAGGAGGGGTTCAGTCGCAGCTCGGTGCCCTCGAACACGAACGTCTCCACACCGGCCTGCCAGAGAACAGAGGTAACAGGGGGGGGGGGGGGGGGGTCAGTCGCAGTTCTCTACCCGTGAAAACGGACCTATCCACACCGGTCTGCCAGCGTACTGAGGTAGCGGGAGGGGTTCAGTCGCGGCTCTGTACCCGTGAGCCCGAAATAATCCACACCAAGCTATTGGTACGCACCACTATGGTAACGGTATATTATTCAACCATCTCACCATTGGGGCTATCAGACGAGCGGAGGTCGCCTGCTGGTTCACGGATGTCATGTCCTCCTGCCTGGACGGTCCCCATTGTGGATGCCCGGTCTCACTACGATGCTAATGTGTTATCTCACCTAGGCGGTCCACGCCACAGACAGCATCTGCCGCGTTACCTGGACGGCCCTGACGATGGACAGGATCTGCTGAGCCACCACGGACAGCACCTCCAAATCGATCCGGTTGAACTCGTCGAAGCAGGCCCAGGCGCCAGACGATGCCAGGCCCTTAAAGAACTGCGGCAGACAGGGACTTACTGAACACCACCATGTGCCTGACCACTGGCGGGTTACCATTTTACATGCGGTTTAAGTTTTCACGCGTAGGTCCCCGCCCCAAATGTAAGCACGTACAACAACATGCAAACCGAATGAAAGAGCCCATTGGCCCAGTACAAATCCAAGAGTGCTTTCATAATCCCGAAATCACCCATCAACACATGGAGCTGTTCTGTCTATCCGTAGGTTCCCTCGCCATTTTGCACCACGGGGATAGCAACAAAATGACCCCAATCCCCAGGATCCCAGCCCGTGCCTCAGAATCCACACCATATGCGCTGCCGACAGCTGCCACCCTCCAGACACCCGGTCGCACCACTCTCCACACAGGAGGGGCGGCCACTCTCCAGACACTCGGTCGCACCACACCCCACCCAGGGGGGCGGCGAGGGGGACGCACCTTGCCCATGGCGATATAGTCGAGCCCGTCGGAGCAGTTGAAGACGATACACTGGACGGCCAGCGCCTTGGCCAGGTCCTTGGTGGTCTCCGTCTTGCCAGTGCCGGCCGGGCCCTCCGGGGCGCCGTTCAGGTGCAGGTGGTAGGCCCCGATCAGGGTGCGGTAGCAGCGGTCCGTCAGCGGCGTGATCACCAGCCGCGGCGTGTTGCCCAGATATTCGTACGCGTACGGCACAGTGGCGTTGATCAAGCGCACCTTGCAGTTTTCCTCCTCCCAGTAATACCTGCCCGCAGGCCAGCGGCGGCGGCAGCGACGGCGTGTTAGGCGGTCAGGGGCGGCGGTTAATGGCCGGGCAGCGACTGAGTAGGAGTAGAAGTGTCTGAGGACACAGTGTCACTCCCTCGTTGAGGCCGGAAGCAATTCACTCCAAACACTTGCCGCAGGAAAGGGCATTTTCTTCGAGTCGCAGGACCGAACCAATTCGTTAACCTGTCTGTCGACGCGCCCGCCTGCGCAGGCCCGGCGACTGCCCTTCCGCGCGCCGCCCTCACCTGAGCTGGGCCAGCCACTCGAAGTCGCTCTCGGAGCTGACGCCCTTATCGGCCAGGCCCTGCACCACGTCGCGCGCGTGCACATCAATGACGACCAGAGCGCCGAGTGTGATTCGGGACTGCTTGCTCAGCTGTCCGCGCACTAGAGACACGAGGTCGTTCATCTGGTCCTGGCGGCGGCAGCGCGTCTAGTGAGACCCCATCGCCACACCAACGCCGTCCTACCGGGGGACGCGATGGCCGCCGGACGCGACACGGGTGATACAGGCACGCGGCGCTGCACTGTCGGCACCGACATATGTGGCGGGTGGTCATGACTCGTCATCCCTCCGACATGCCAAGGTGCGCTGTAGTCTGGGCCCGCCGCCGCTGCGCCGCACCTACCCCCCTCCCCCCCCCCAGGTAAATTCTGAGTGACACACGCCTGACGCTGTGACGTTGAGCTCCGCGCCTCAGAGTCACGCGGGCGGGACAGGCGGCTACAGCAGTGTGCCGGTCGGCAGGCCGAGAGCAAGCGAGCGATGAGGACGAGGGAGCGGCCGTCGGCGGCCGGACGGCCCCACCAGCCCACCTGCAGCTTTCGGTAGTATTCGCGCAGGCCGTGCACGCCATCGCGGATGGCGTGGTGAACCTCAGCCGTCCAGTACACTTGGGAGACGCAGAGCACCACCTGCGGCGGAGGAGCGGTCTCAGCGGCACCGCCGGCGATGGACCGGAGCCCTGGCAGGCGGCCTCAGAGGTACCGTCGAGCACCGCCGGCGCTGGACCGGAGCCCCCGCAGGCGGCCGCAGAGGGACCGCCGAGGACCGCCGGCGCTGGACCGGAGCACTGGCGGGCGACCTCAGAGGTACCGCCGAGGACCGCCGGCGCTGGACCGGAGCACAGGCGGGCGGCCTCGGAGGTACCAGCGAGGACCGGGCCGGCGTCCGCCCCAAACAGGCG